CGTCACAAGAAATTTTCTTTATTCTTCCATACCCAATCACATACGTGTATGCGTGTATTCTGGCTTTGGAGAGTCAGTAAATTGGCAGCGGATACGAAATCTACGGTTAGCCGGTAGAAAGTGAGAAAGAGAAGCAACAAAGATCTCCATATGCTTCGGAAACGTTGGAGCACGGAAATGTAGATTTCCATAAAGAATACAAATGGAATGAACAAAGCGTGAAAGAATAAGGCAATAAGTAAAGAAGAAATTAATCCATAAAGGCAGGAACCGTACAGAGATAAAATGGCCAATGGGAAAAACTAGACACGCATACACTTCACAAGCATCAAAGATATATGTATGCACATACATATTTGTATACATATATGTACAGATTAATGCATATATGTACATATAGGCACTTCTTGTTGCACTTCCCTCTGGTACAACCGATGTGGCGATGCTTTCCACATTGTGCAGTCGCACAAATCCTTTGTCTCAATTTATGACTTGTTTTCCCACCTTTTCTAATAATTAAATTCGCCAGATGGCTTTCAAAAGTTTGTTCACTTATCTAATAAAATAATGTCGCGATATAATAAAACCTGTTTCGATAACTACATATTTTCGCATTTCATATTTCACTAAGTTATCACAAGAGTCAAATTTTCTACTTACAGAACTCCACCAACAGGAATGGGTGCTTCTTTATAACTTCCTGGAAATTACTGTTGGTCAGCACAAGTACTCCATCTTCGACTTTCACTTCTTCTTCGGCAAAAGCACCCGTTGCAGCAACGGCCACCAAAAGTAGCGCACAGATTAAGAACTTCATGTTTTTTATCTGTTTGTGATTATTTAGTTGCTAACTTGAAATATATCACGTTCCCGTCGAATAAAATGACCAATTCCCAAAGAAACCAAACCCTTCGTCTCGACTGGTAAGTGTAAAATGAAATGAACGAACAAATTTTCACTGAAAGCAAATGCTGATGACGAGTATGCAAATGGAAGAAAAAGTGGAGACTTCTCGGTTTACAGTGTTTCCACAAGCTAGTGCAAACAGGGTTGTCGTTGCGTTGCGGGCGGGTGCAAGCAAGTGTCTTGTCAAAATTTATGTACATATATTTAAGTGAAACTGATGAATTGTTTGGACAAAAAGGGTATATTTTAAAAAAAAAGTAGATTTAGGCCGGTACATATCATATTAGAATATTTGGCGACCGTACTATTCGATGTGGTGTTATAAAATATTAAATGCAACTATGCGTTTTTGCACTTGTACACGTTTCTTGTTGCACCTAATGCATCATCAATTACGCATCAATTACAGGTGATAGGATAGAACATGATTCAATAATAAAAGTTTAGATAATTATTGACAGCCGCGATTTGACACTCCCTTACAAAAGGTTGCATTTACGAATTTATCGAGGGATAGTAGCTATGCTTCTTCTTATGAGCACGCTTGTATCAAATTATCGTGTTTTGCTTTGTTTACATATCCGCGTACAAATACACATATACGTATATACATATATACCCTGCAAACACATGCTCCCGAAATCTTTAAGAGTATCGGAAATTTGGTAGGTCATCGGTGTTTCCCTGTGGAGTTCTGCGGTAATGGACAAGGTTAGAAGACGATTGGAGAAGCTGACTGAAAAGTGCGTAGTGTTCGGACTCTTTAAGTGCACGCCTATAACTGCTATGAGCGCTCGCATGCGAAACATCGTAAGAGAAATATCGCAGGTGTAGACCGTTCATCACAGAAGGTATACGATACCATATAACGCATAACTATCTATGGTTCTTAGCCACTACTTTTTCATATTTGCTTTGATTCCGAGTAGGAAAGAAGTGGTGTTATTCAGGGGAACGCTGTTCAGGCACAATCTAGCAAAAAAATACAATTTTCGCAGCATTTATAAAAACCGTACAATGATAAAATTTCGCATGCGAGAAAACCGACGGTTCGTATGCGAGCGCCAGAGCACAGGTATAGACGCACACTTAATGTATTAACAAAAATGTATTAGTAACAAAATGGGGCACTTGTGAACAAAACAGTTTCAATGTATGAAATCTTAAAATTTAGAAAAAAAGTATCAAAAATGATACAATTGTATCAAAACGGCAACGCTGTATGCAAATGGAGAAAAAGTGGAGACTTTTGGGTTTACAGGGTTTCCGCAAGCTAGTGTAAACAGGGTTGTCGTTGCGTTTCAAACCCGAATGCCGAACCGATTTCCGGCTTTGATCCCAAAACCGAGTCCCGAACCAATTTCCGGTAGTGGCAGTGTTGTGTTGGAAAACGTCAACGTTCTTTTCTATGTGGGCGGTTGCAAAAGTTACTTGTAAATATTAATTTAGTATTATTTTTTATTCACAATTTATGTACATATACATATGTTGTTGTTATTGTTGTAGCAGAATATATTCCCCAAAGAGTTTGCTGAAGTGGCAGTAGGTACTTGGCCAGATATGAATCTGGGTCGTTCCAGCTACGTGGACTCGAATGTCGTGAGAACGCACATACATATGTATATCTTGTATTAAAATTTACTTATTTAAGAATCTGTACACGATATTGTGCATATGTAGTCCATTGTTCTTGAAAATTATCAATTAAATGTCAATAACCCGGTCGGTGTTTATTTACCAGTACATTGCACTAAGCGCGTCGTTGCAGCTGTTTGTATTGTTGAATTCATTTAAGCACATTATGCAGGGAATATAAATATGTACATACATAATACGACATAATTCCAAAGCGCTTAAAATATTGTTATTAAGACAATACCTATGTATGTACATAAATTTACAATAATCATATGGTTATTTTTCCGCAGCTTTGTTTAAGCTGGTTTCTGTTGAGCATTTCTGCTATCAGATGGCTGAAAGCTAACATACGTCGGCATTCTGAATAATTGGAGCTACGGTGCTTATTGCTGTTTCTGATTTCCGTCTCGCATGTATGTGTGTATGTAGCTTTGCAGCTGCTTAATTTTGTAAGAAAATCCAAGGATATTTATTTTAGACGATCATTGCCAAAAAAAAACAGATCGTATATCACTGCTATAATTGACATTTTGTTGACCTGTCATATATGTACACCTAAGAATATTCACATGCTATATGTACATACATACATATGTATGTATATACATACATATCGAGGACTTATATTCAATATCCTCTATCACCAATTTTCAGAAAATTTAGTTTCTGATAATAGAGCCTATCTCGGAGTTAACTGCCATCCCTGATATTAATTCTAACTTTGCAATCGAATTTTTATACAGTCCTGCTGAAGAGGAAATATAAGGTTAGATTTAGCATCATCGATGACATTTAGTGCTCAGATAGATTTTATCAGAAGTTAATTTTTGTGAAAATAGCAGATATGTATATATAAGGTATTAAATATAAGCCTACGCTTTTTTTTGCGCTAATCGTTGAAATAACCTAAGTATCTTGATTAGGGATAGAGAACTTATCGCACCTTAGGGATATAGTCCCCACAGAAATATCTAATTTGATTCTATGCATCTATGTACATAAGTTTCCAGCTGAATTAAATCTTTATTAGCTATATTATGGCTTATAAATTTATTCTCTTCTTTATTTGGAATTGGCTTGTGTAAAAAAAAATTTAGGATCGTTCTTCTTCTAAATAAAGGATTTGCTATAAAATAATTTTTTCATCAAACCAGCCAAGATACCACATAAGTTTGGAACTAAAACCGTTTACCTACCTTGTGTTGGGAATATGCTACATACAAACGTATTTAACCCAGTAAAAAGTTTTTTCATATTGTAATTTAGTTTTATTACTGAATTTATAGATATTCGATTATTTACCACTTTTGCTGTCGTTTAATAATACGCTTCTAAAATAGTTTCTTACCAACATACACATATACATATATAAATAAATAAATATCTATGTATGTATGTATGCGTGTAAGAACATATAATGAGTGTATGCATGCATACGCCTGATCATACGGATGTATTTCAATATCTTTTCCTGAAAACTTCTTACGCATTCTCCAAACCATATACATACATAACTTATAAACTATGTACATAGGTTATACTTATAGATAAAATATGTATGTTTGTATGTAACTATGTGCGCTGATCTGCTTATTTGTATGCTTCAACTTAGATCTGAAGACTTTATTTAAACATATCCTGAAGTATGTCTTTATGATATATGTAAGTACATATGTATGTATGTTTGTATATACACATTTATCCAATATTTATATTTATTTTGGAGTTTGTCTACAAAAGTGTATCCATACTTACATGTGTGTATATGCGATACATATATTCTTATTTAATTGTGTTTAATTAGAAAGGTTATGGCTTTTTTACTCGTAAATATCGTATCACAGAACCAAATGACAGGTTTTTGCCAAACTATAGAAAATTGCCAATCGCAGTATTCATTTATAATGCATATGTATTGTATAATTGTCTGTTTGTTTTCAATATCTCGCTTAAAGCTATGCTTACACATTTTTGTTTCTTAAAAATTAGTAGAAGAAATTTTCTCGTTTTTGGCAAATTTGTATGTATGTAGTAATTACATGTGGATAATGATTTAGGTTTATTGTGTTTTTGGCATTTTTATTTTTGCTTATGCATACTATGTATCTACATATGTATGTATGTATTACTTTATGTAAATATGTATGTATCTACATACACATCTATGTATATTGTAATTGATAAAGTACGCATTTCTGTGATGTTTTGCATTACCTTAACTACACTTTTTCGAAGTAATTTAAGCTTAAAGCTATATACTTATTGTATGCACGTACTTTTTATTTTTACAAGCATACCAACTAACAATTTGATAGTTTATAAATTTATTAATATTTTTTTTGTTAGTTAAAGTGCAATTAGCAACTTATCAACTATGTGTACAACATGATTATATCTTAATATTATTTATAGATTATTATTATTGTGTAGAAGTTTAGTTTGAATAAAAAAGTGTGTATAAAAAATATTGAGCGTACGTTCATACATACATACACAGATTTTAGAGAGTTAGTAGAGAGAGAGAGAGAGATGTGCTTTGAATCAAAGTTTTCGAGCTTTGTTCACTTCTATCAAAAAAAAAAAAACTTTGATATACTATATCTACCTATAGCAATTTTTGATATTAAACAAGTTAATCCTCAACTTCCATTAAACATTTTATAATTCAAATCCATGGATCCAGCAGCTAAAGGCGTGAATGATTTGTTTTTAAAATACTATTACACTAGCTCCTAGAGAGCTATTGCGTTACCGGCCGTCTTCACGTGCTGGAAAATCTCGCTTGCGTGATGACGCATGCGAGATCCCGCACATGTAGACCACAAAAAGTAGGAAGCATACTTTTTCTCGCATACCGAGCGGTTTGCGAGATCTCCCGCATACTTTCAACTATATTTTTTGTTGTCTGGCAGGTATTTTCTTATTTCGCAGAATTCTTCAGAGTAGAAACATCGTTTATTTTGGTGGAAAATATACAAATTTGGGCTGAAAAGCTCCAACCTTCTTATTTGACGACATTTTACAAATGAAAAAGTATGCTACCAAATGCCCTGGCCACAAAATTCCATGACACAAAAATCATCAAAAAATTCTATCTCGCTTGCGAGAGGAAAAAGCACAACGCAAGCTAGATTTTCAAGCATGTGAAGACAGTCGGTTAAATATAAAAAGTGCCAAATGTCCACAAAATTTTATCTGGCAACACTACTCAACAAATTTTCTACCATTGATTTTGTCTGAGATAGGGCTAGCCATTTCTAACAGATTTTCAGTCGCTGAATTCCAGTCTCAAGTCAGAATTACTCTGTCATATCAGATTTTTTTTCGAGGATAGGTAGCTAAAGACATTTTTCTTACTCGGAAAAATATACATAGCATTTTTAAGTATGTATATATCTTTCTCTATCACATGCTCGAAAGTTCTATTTTTTTAACGAGGATTTCGCATTAAAGTAATTTCACCATTGTCCCTTCGTTAGAGCCTTTCGAAAAATATTTGAAAATTTTAAAATAAAATTTCTAAGCTGCCGGTTAGGAATGCCGGCTCTGCCTCGAGGCTGATGAAACTTCGGAGCATGTTTTCTGTCCCTGTCCGGCTTTAGCCAGACAAAGACTGCTTTATTTTAAATCTTCGATGGTCGAACCCTTTGTTATTAGGAATTCGTCTATTAGGGAAGCCGAAGGTATCTTGGATTAGGGACTCCTTTAAAGAGATACAAAATATCTTTTAGGTCGCGGTGTCTCTTGTTCTAGTACACCCAGAAACGGAACTAACTAACTAACTAACTAGGTTAGGATATTTGAAAAACCTGTGATAGAGCAATTCTGAGTTCAGATGCGAGTTCAGTGATCCAAAAAATCTACTAGAAATGTCCAGCCTTATCTCAGAAAAAATTTGCATGTCCGACTATATTGTTGGCCACGGCAAATAAAATTGCTATGAGTTATCAATGCAATACGGTTGGAATGAAGGTTGGTTGGTAAACATAACGAGTATGCTTTACTCTGGGTGCCAGTTTACTCGGGAGTACCTGGCAAAGGAATATCTGATCATTTGACCAGAATTGGCTCAGACCGTTCATTCCGCCGTCTGCAACCAGTCATTGTATCGAAGCCAGTATCGGAAACTGGTTGAATACTTCGCTCAGCGATTACTGGGAGGCATTGACGGGCTGGAGATGTGCCAAATGCATGTTGCCTTCAATCTCAGACGGTCTATTTAATTACTTGATCTCACTGAGCAGACTGGATTGGAGACACTTGTTCGGACTGCTGACAATACATTAGAACTACATTTGCCCATCCTGCCTTGAAGACCTTTTGTGCTTCTGCCTCGCCTTGCAAGAATTGAGGTATGAGACATTCGGCCGCGATGTGTTGCGAGACGGACAGCTGAGCTCCTTGACACCCAGCAATCTGCTTAAGTTTATTCGTAAATCATACAGATTTAAAGCAGATTAAATAAAAGGCACACGAAAGCAGTACAATGGTCGGCATACAGTATGAGTTCTGTTTTCTGCACACGTATTGCGTTTTGCGTATTGTGCATTTTTCACTCAGATATTTTTGTTGTGTGTTTGGCCGAGCTTGCCCTAAAATTTGTGGAGCGTGTCTTGAAGTTATCACATAAATCGCGGGGTCCATCGCTCCGAACGGCAGATGGTTTTTATGAGAAGTCTTTTAATGGCAGAAAAATACTCGTAGAATTGCCATTCCTGCCCTGCGGTGGCCGCTATTAGAAAACGCATTTTTTGGGCGTTGTAGTCGATTTTTTTTTTAATCTACTCAAGAATCAAATGCATTGAAAAATAATACTGTAACTTTGCCTCAAAGGCTTTTCTACTTTATTTTGGCCGTTTCTCTACGAATGAAGAACACCACGGATTATTTATAAGATAAACTCAAGAATGTTTTCAAGTGAATCATCTTAGAGTATTAGACCAACCTTATGGTAAAGTTTTCTCAAAACTTCTTCATAGTCGTGGCATCATGTAAAGTCACACTCAAGAACCGTGACGAAATCCAAGCCCAGCTTCCATTACTGCTTTTAAAATAGGCAATGAAACGTTGCATATATGTATGTACATATGTATATGAATGAATGTATTCAAAAAAATATAAAAATATGATTACCAAAGTTTAATCCTAAAAACTCGTAAAAGGAAGACATGTGTCATGGGAAGATATAACTTCTACATACATATGTATATATGTACATATACAAAATGTTCAATATAAGATAATGAAGATTGGTTGATTTCTGTCATATCATTGACATCAGATTATTAATAGGCTTTCGCCATAGTAAAAATTATCTCTCTTCTATACATCACTCTTTAAATTTAGATAAGTATCTTATCATAGGACGGCGGCGGTGATTCATCATCGATCGGTGCCTCTTTTCCCTTGCCACTGTTCTCTGTCTCCGGAAAGTAGATTGCTATATGATATGGTGGTGGTCCAGCACTTGCCGAGTCCTCAATCAATTGCAGTTGACCGCATAACGGTGCGCCATGTATGTCATCCAAACCCCCCAAATCACCGCCACCAGTTCCATCACTGTTCATGATGTCACGTCTACCGTAGGGAGCACGCGTACAATGCATACCACTATCAGCATCAGTGCGCTGTTGCGCGCCGAGTACAGCATTGCGACCACTCGGAAGTAGGCCTTTCGGTACGCGGCAGAGTGAAACAGTGCAAGCGGCTAAAAAGAATGTGGCGGAGAAAGCGCAGAAGATCAACACCTCCAAGCCGGTGCCCTGATGGTCAAAATAAAATTTAGCGCCTGCTACAAATACGGAAGCCAGCACCAACGAAGCGCACATTCCGCACTTCAGATGTGAGGGCAGCAGTTGGGCGTCACCGCCACCCGTATCCACAGTCATATTGCTGGCGCGCATATTTATGGCGGCGGAGCTATAGCGATGCGCTGTGTTGGCCACTGCGTAACTAGCGGTGTTTGTGGTATTGGTGGAAATGGGTGCAGAGCCGCCCATGATCGACTCATTCGACTGAGCAGGACCAGTGGTGCAGTGGCTGCAATGAAAGTGAATAATTAAATAAATCAAACGTGGCATAGAGAGTGGATACATTTGTATGTATGTATGTATGTATGTCTGCTGCACAAGTACCTGAAGGCATGTTGTTGTCGATATGGCATTTGATCGAGATGTTGCATAGTGGACATTGAAGACGCTGCAGTTGTAGCGCCAACTATTGCTCTTGTGCTGCTGTTACCGCCGCCGCGATATGCATGTGCCGCGGAATTTGCAGCATTGGTATGTGTTGGACCAGTGCAATTTCTGCCAGGATATTGATAATGTCGCACCGACATGTTGCCAAACTGGGGATGATGATAGCTGCGCATATCGTAGCATTGATTTGTGTGCTGTTGATAGAGCGGCGTATTTGGTGTGCCAACAGTGTTTTGCAACAATGCAGCGCCACGTTGATTAAAATTTTGCGCTCCGGGCGTGACAGCGCGCGCATCGGCTGCTGTAGCCGTGGACGTAGATGTGGTGGCATTGTTGTTGTTCGTTATATTGCTATTAGCAGGCATATGGTGGCTCAGCATTGAGCCGCTACCGCTGGTATGATGTTGCGTCTGCTGGTAACCATACTGGTGGGGATTGTTGTTGAGCGTCACCGAGGCGGTGGTGGATTGTATAGAAGCGCCAGTGTTGGCAGCGTTGGCGGTGATATTGGCGGTGTTGCTGTTACTTTGAGTATAATTGCTATTGTTGCTACTGTGATGTGATTGCTGACAATTGTTGCCACCATTGAAATTATTGTTATTACTTGCTTGCTGCAGTTGCTGTTGATGTTGTTGTAGCTGTTGATGCTGATGTGGATGTTGATATTGGTGACTACGGCTGCCGCTGCTGCTAGCCACATTGCTGTGATGGCAGTCTGGCAGTGCGCTTCTACTGCTCGATTTACTGCCACTGCCGCTGCTTATGCGTCGTGGTGGATGTCCAAAACTGAGACCAGACCCTCCAGCACCTGAGAGTGAGGCTGCAACACGTGATCTTCCAAAGCCACATTGTTGAGAGCGCTTATCGATCCAAAAATGCATTTCACTGGCTCGACTTTTGATATGAAGTCTATGGAGATTAAGAAAGTAATAAATGGAAAATTAAGCTTTCTCCTATATAAATACAATCAATATGTACTACATATAGTGTTTTTACTATTCGCAAGGTCCTATATCGGGCCCAGGTGTGTTGGCTTTTTAAGGTCAGCAGCTACTTCAACCACATTCAATAAGTCACCATTATTCCATGCTGGTATATGGCTCAAAAGCATGGACAATGACGACAGCCGATGTGGCGGCTCTTGCGGTATTCGGGGGAAAGGTTTTGCGGAAGATTTACGGGTCTAAACGCGTTGGCGCTGGCGACAACCACAGACGATGGAACGATGAGCTGCATGAGCTTTACAACGACAAGGACAAAAAACGCATCTGTTTTTTTTTTTTTAAGTTAAAAAAAAGTTACTTTTTAAAGGTAGTGTAAATGCACAAATATTTTTCTTTATCCCAATCATGAAAAAGAATTTGTTCAAATTTAATCGATAGAAGTTCGCTGTATTGTACCAATTAGGGAGTCCCATCCCGCATAAATATCGCAATCCCGCAAGCTTGCGGGATCGACGTCAACAATCCTGCGGATCCGCGGGACGTGCGGGACTGAAAAAAAATCATATTATTTCCTCTAAACAGTTATATTCAAAATTGATATGTAAAAAAGACGATTTGATTTAGAAAGTCTACGTATTTACTTTTAATTAGGTTGACTTTTTTGATAATATTTCCGAAGGAATGATGAAGTCTTTTTTAATCTTTTGAATTCGACTTTATTTTATTGCACAATCAGGAACTTTTGATTTTGGTGATTATGCATAGTTTCGTAGGTATATAGTCAAAACGCTCTATTTGTTGGGTATTTTTCAGAAGAATATATATCATAAGAAGGGTTACTGTAGTGTTTTATTCGATCTGAAACAACACCCGCTCGCTGTAATCCCAAAACTAGCTAAAGCATCAGTGATTAGGGATTATTAAAATTCAACTAAGTTTCCTGTTTTTCCGCGCAACTTTTTACCGTTTGATATTCTATATAACACACTCTTGAAAATTACGCTACAGCTGAATGTGTGCCTCTAACAGAACCAGAGTTATGGGTATTCGAAAATTGGCATCTGAAAGGAAGCTCAAGATAAATAAATAAATTTTTCCGCTGGCACACTTATTTATCGATAGAAACGGACCGTTCTACACTTGTATGATGTGTTCATAAATCGGTAAGTGTACAAAGTTTAAGCTAGTTATCAAGGCGAACGTTTTCAAATTTTAATCAATTACGCAGGACCACAAAAAAAAATATCGATGAAAGGTTAATAAAACCAGACAAGGTGTTTTATATGTTTTTGGGGTCGCTGAACACGAATCTGAAGTCCGCCTTGCTCCATCATGTCAGGATTTGCTGCTAACCTCAAAACACATTGAGAAACTCAATGAACTCCTCCAAAAGGCCTTCTGAAGTACGTCCTATAAAAGCCCTTCTGGAAGGCCTTCTATGGGTAGCAAAAGAAGAAGGCCTTCATGACAAATCATATAAAAAAAGGAGAAAGAAATGTAGAGTGGAAGGCCTCTTGACTCTCCGGAAGGCCTTTCGGAGGGGCTTTTAACTCCTGAAATTATCTACTGGTTTATAAAATGATGTATATTTAATAAAGCTATGCACGACGAACATTTCGGCGAACACACTCACAGCTCGCGTTTGTCTTTTTAATTGTTTGCTGTAGTCCCGCAAATCCCGCATGTGTAATACCTCATTTCTGATCCCTCAAAAATGGCGCGGCGTTTGCGGCACCTCGCATTTTCGGGATTGGATTCCAATTTTTTTATTTTGTACCAATAGCACAATATAAAATAATTAAAAATCTGTACAAATGTACCAATCGTGTGACACTGCCGTTTTTGGCCGATTCTTGGCCGGATCTTTTTTACTTTTTTCGCAATTTTAACAAATGTTCATCAAAATTTGAAACTGTTTAATCACTTTTTAGAATTTTTTTGAGTACGTAGTTTTTTAAATTTTATTATAATAAAGTACAAGGTAAGTGTTGACTTTTGACAATTTTTTGTTCGCGCATTTTCTTCCAAAGTAATCCGCAACATCTTCCACTAAAAAATTTCCAAAAATCAATAGTATTGAATGGGCTGCAAAACCGCATACTCAGAATGTTTAAAGAAAAAGTTTGAAATTTTTACTAAGATGGTTTTTGTTATATAACGAGCTACACTTTCGTAAAAAATTAAAAAAAAAACATTAAATAAACGAAAGGCAAATAGCCAAAGAATGCTAAAATGTCATTACTGTCAGTATTGTTACGAGGATAATCGAGAGGGTTTTTTCACTGGATTGTTAAATTGTTTACGTTACAAAAATACTTTTATCATTAAAAATCTACGGTTACTGTTACAATTTGTTAATAATTGTATCCAATACAACACCTTTATAGTCAGCTACCTCTATGAGTACAACTGAGAAATGTTATTTTGAATGAACTATTTTTTTAACATTGAACAAGAAAATGACTTTGGAACAGGGTATTGCAATGATATGTATGCATAGGCGATATACTAATTTTAATACATATTTATGTATGAACATACATAAATAAGGGAATAGCTTCTTGAATGATTATTTGTGTAGTAATGTTATTTTTTTATGTTTTTAATTTTTTTATACCCGAGCGCACTTGTGCACAAGGGTATTATAACTTTGTTCACATAACGGTTGTTTGTAACAGGCAAAACGAATCGAGATAGATATAGACAAATGTATACATATATGATCAGAATTAAAAGTGAAATCTATTAAGCGGTGACTGTCTGTCCGTCCGTCTGTGCACGCGATAACTCGAGTAAAAATTAGGATATCTTAACGAAACTTTGTGCGTGCACTTCTTTCGGACAATAACCACGCCTACCTCCCATATAACGGTAATTTTCAGAAATACGAAAACTGCGATATTTTAGTAACTACTGAATATTATTCACTCAAAATTGATATTTACAATAACTTTACAATTTCTCAAAAACTTGGCACAGTTGTTAGCCTTGCTACAGCATACCAAATGCCGAAATTTTTAAAATCGGACAATAACCACGCCCACATCACATATAACGGTAATTTAGAGAAATGCGAAATCTTTGATAAATCAGTAATTATTGAAGCTAATTTATTCAAAATTGATGCTTGCAACAATTCTTTACCAAGAAATGCGTTTATGATAAAATTTTGGAAAATGAGCGTGGCACCGCCCACTTATGATCATAAATATGTATCTCGGTAAACGTTGCAAATTATTGCAATCGGAGTAAAATTGAGGCCGCCTTTCATATAACGGTAAATTTCAGAAATGCCTAAAACTTCAATATTTCGAAATTTAAGGACGCTAATTTACCTCAAAATTTATACATACCATGTAGCGGTAGCTTTCGGAAAGGTGAAAATAATATATTTAATACAGCAAAAAAAAAATTTTTAACCTTATATTTTTTAATGTCATTTTAAAGTTTAAGGTAATTCTTTTACCCAATGATATCTGTCCTGAATTCTCGATCTCAAAAGCTTTAAAATTCCGTTACTTTTATTTCGCTGTCTTCCCGTTCTCGAGGTATTTGATATTGTCGCTTTGCCCAAAATAGTACACAGTGCGGCGGTGCGAAGCATCTATCCCAAAGCGAATTTATACAAGGTGGTGTTGTTGGATCAGCTAATATCTTCGCCTTACATGTATTTTGTTTTTGCTCTTACTGATTTGACAGCACGGCCATCAAGAGCAAAAACCAAATGCATTAAAACTTTGGGGATTGGGGATTGAGATTTGACATAACACCCGCAATAAAAAATACATGTGGTTGTTGTTGTTGTATTCTTTCTATCACTTTGTATAAATTCGCCTTGTATAATTTGCCTTTTGGGAAAGCTAGAGATTAATTAATTGCGAGAGCCACTCAGATATTATATTCGAGCGGTTATTCCTCCAGTTCTCGCACTCTCAGTTTACTAAGATCTCATAGCAGAGGTAATAGCAAACACAGAGTGAGTATTCAAGGGCTCACTTTGCCCGATTCGATGGGAAGTTGAAGCGTTTAGCCTATTTCTACATTACCCGGTACAATATACCTAGGGATTGTGCTTGATATTTATGTATATACATGCATAGATTTCAAGAATTCCTCGATCTGAAAGGGATATATCAGCTCCACAGATTTTGAGTTTTACAACTTTCGTAACCAAGAAAAGGCTTAGCAAATAATAATATGGACTCTGCACCATAAGTTTCAATAGTTACAAAGCTGTTTACTGATTCCATTTTGGTCATTTCTAGAGGAGCGGTAGCAATTTTAAAATGGCCGGTGTCGGAAAGGTCTTCAAAAATTTGCTGGCGGGAGGGGGAAAAAGTGCTTTCCAAAAACTTCCGATAAAACCTGCAACTTCCATAAATTCAGAAATTTTTCCATCACATGAAAGTGGCGCTTTTCAATGAAAGATGCCAGATTATTCAGTATGTTGAAAGTATAATATTCGAGAAAAATATATTTAAGTATATTATTAAACGTTTTTTTAAAAGCCATGTGAATTCTATTTAGTGATAGACATCGGGACCCACCGGTTTTTTCGTCATTTTGTAACCATACACGAAACATGGATCTATCACAACACACTAGGGACCAAGGAAAAGTTAAAGCAGTGAATTGCTCCCTGCGAACATGCACCAAAACAAGGTCTCTTGGCCAACAAGGGAATAGCAAACGGTTTTTTGAAATACATACATACATCCAAAGTCATTTGCATCGATTTCGATGAAAACGGTAAAATCGATTGCAAATAAATTCTATTCAGAGCTATTGTATGGGCTCTACATTGCTTCACGAAAAAAGATCCATAACTTTGACTACGACCTATGTATTACCACATCCAGCATATTCTACCGATTTAATTCTCTCTGAATATTTCTTATATCCAATACTGAAGTCATATCTACGAGTATAAGCTACAAAGAATATGAAAACTTAAACAAAACACTC